AAAAATTAACCCACTTTAAAAGAAACAGAAAAGGGTATATTTTCCTAAGACTCGTTTCAGTTAGCAAAATATTTGAAAAATTAACAACTATAGCCGTAGTGCATGATTACAGAAAATTATATGGTAATTTAAATCAAGATATTTAATTCTCAGTTTTCTAAGAAAAATTCTGAACTATCGACTGAAAATATCAAAAATCGAATCATTAGATTAAATTTGTAATCTACGTTATAAATTATATATGAATACCGTTATAGATTTTTAGGTAAAACGTTACTGGTCGAATTTTTAAATCATTTTCTTTAAACTTTGTTTCATCATCAAACAGGTGAAATCCACGCAATTCAGAAAAAAATAAAACAAATTAAACAAAATGCGAAAAGTAAAATTTTACTTTTCGCATCTGTTTTACAATCTAATTAGCGCATTCTCTGGTTTTCCCGTTGGTGAAATACACGATAGCTGATTGGTTAAAATCTAATAGGGAAATGTGACAGCTGTGGAAAACAATCAACTTCGCACAAAATTTTTATAAAATATTTATATTTAAAATCGAAACTATAAAATTAAATTTAAACATAACAGTAACTGTGGCTTGTTTATATCGTGTAAATTTGCCAACTAAGTTTACTTCTCATGCATAAATATTTGGCAGATTTTTATCTTAGCGCATGCGTACTAGGGACTTCCGGTAACCATTAAATAAATTTGTATTCATTAATCTGTATTAAATGTTTTCTTTGTTTTGTAAATGCATAGTGTGTGTACATTTTTTCGATTTATTAAGTTTATTTTTATTGTTTTGTATACCATACCATACCATATATTTTATTTGATATTATCTCATATCTTTGACTACTGAAATTAATGTCTACAAAATTGTTTGTTGCAAGATGCCATGTTACCAAAATCATGATTTTACTGGCATAAAATTGGATGAAATGCTTGTAGATTTAGAACACACATCTTGAAATAGAAAATCCGGTTTCAAATCAGTTGTGGAAAATTATCGGCGCAATTGTACGAAATTGTGAAATGACTTTAGAAGCGAATTTCCTGTTAGGATGCCGATCCACATCCACCTATCCTCCATATCGCAGAAGGGATTGTGAAACAGGCTTTTTATAATGTTTTTGAAAATTAACATTCTCTCTCCTTTATTTCATCAGTTGAATGTGCTGTTATGTTTGTATAAATTTATTTATTATAAATTTTTCGTAACTATTTGTAGTGTGTGCAATTTTCTCAGAATCTCAAAATTTTGGTACCGTCTATAAGATCAATGCGATTTGTAGCTTGTTTTTTTTGTTATTACTCGTTCAGACTTCTTTTATAGAAAGTATAGTATATAAAAATAATTTTTAAAATGGGTAATTTGACAAAATGCAATCAAGTATAGTATAGTATTATAAATTGTGCGGCATTCGTTCTTGTAATTCAATCAAATAAATAGATCTATATTCGAATTGTAATAATTTATTGTATTTATAACTGTTATTTAAAGACAAATTTTCAAATTTATAATGCCCCCTGAAAGTCTCCAGCTCTCACAAGGGGGCGTTATCGTCCACTTTCAGAAAGGATGCATTAGCATATTTTCTTTAAATAGATCCACCACACATTCCAGAACTTTCATTTCTAGCAGATCTTTAAACTTTTTATCATAAATTTTCTGTCCCCAACTGTTTCTCTTATTGGATTTTCAATTAGGACTTCTGTAATGTGACACTTAGAATTAATTTATACAACATACAAAAAATTTCAGGAGCTACTTTGCTAATTAGTATGATCCCATTATAGCTCTGGTGGCCACCTGGCAGTTCCTGTGGCCGTCCAATTGTCTTTTTTTATGTAGCTTTCCTGAAATATTCCATGACCCCATATTACTTAGTTACTTTAAAGTTAAGGTCAATATTCTTGACCAATGGTTCTCAATAGTGGTTCTCAATCTTACAAGGGGACCTTACAGTCTTGGATTTCAGTTCGGGATGAGACTTCGCAGGTTAGTATTATCATCCCAAACTGAATTTCTGAGACTGTAAGGTCCCCTTGTTNGAATATAGATCGATTTTTATTCTAGTTTTTTTGTTGTTAATAACTATAAAAAGATAGCTTATAATTTTAGTTTAAATTGTGCATAAAATCAAACTGAGAAAATAATTTTTGAATTTAGAAAAAGTAGGCAAATTGATGTGAATGAGCTTTTACACGAACTTTTAAACATTTCTAATATATTTCTAGTAACTTGAAAAAAGTATTTAAATGTTTCATTAAAAAAAATCTTTATTAATGATTAATGTTCTATTTTCTCTCTAATTTTGTTGTTTACGGTGTTTTAATTTTACGAATTCAGTTGTTATTTCAGTATGTTCTTAAATTAAAATTCAGTAATATTTTTTCATTTTAGCCATTAGCCAATAATTACGGAAAATGATAAATTTAAGTGTATTTTGAATGAAATAAACATTAGAATATCAAACTTTGATTAATTTTCGATGGCCTTTAATTTTAAAAAATTACGCCTTATGGTTAAAAATAGACAATAGTTTTTTCATTAACGTTTACGAAGAAAATATTTTGCATATCCTACATTTTCTGGAATATTTTCATATAAATCACTTTAAAATCTTGAAGCGTTGCTACCGTTTATGTAATGCAAATTATAAAAATAGTTTTTATTAACTTTAAAAGTAGCATAAAATTAGAATCAGTTTCTTAAAAGTTCATGGTTAACAGTTTAAGTTACTATATCGAAAATAGAATATGACGCACTATTTTGGATATTCTTTGAAGTTACTTCGGATTTTCTTGAACTGTTCGTTTTCACTTGTTTATGAAAAAAAGATCAGGAAATGTTTAAAATTTAGTTTGTTTCGGAGAAAAAAGATTGAAATTACAATTTCGTTCCCCTGGCTCATCTATGTATTTTTGTCTTGTATATTTCTTTTAAAGTGTGTTTCTGTATGAGTCAAGTAGATGTTATCCTCTTCAGTTTAACCTAAAGCATGTTTTCTTATATGATTATTTGGCTTCAATTTATTAATGATTCAAAAGTTTATATCTTACAGAATATAATTAATTACACCAAAGAAATTAAGACTCTATGTAAGACCAATGATAGCTTTATATTACTTTATTTAAATCATACACTTTCCTTATTTGTGTTCTTAGCAATTTGTCAAAATCTCAATGAAAGAAAATATTCTAGTATCTTTGTTAAATTATATATGATATAGCTTAATATTCATTTAGAGTTGTTAAGTAATTAAGCTAATTTATTCTATTTCACAGTTATTTAATAATTATTAAAATTTCTTGATGTAAATACGAAGTTATTTCCAACTCTAGTTCAAATTGTCAGCTAGCCAATTAAGATTTGAGAAATTAGAATTATTTTAATAAAATTCGAATAAAATATTGTTTGGTGGTAGTGGTGTTTCTTTAATTTTCTTGTGAAACAGTATTTTGAGTTTGAAGTAATCATAACTATAGATAGATAGACTGAGTTATATCGACTACCATATGAGTAATGCTTTCGACTATTTACCGACGAAAATGAAACGAGGCCAACTTTGTTTAAATGTAGTTCAAAACTTTAAAGGAGGATGAACTTTACTAGAATATTCTACTTACTAAAAATTTTCAGAAGAAAATTCGAAAATTTGCCATTTTATATATATGCATAACGACCATTTTATTATCGTGTTAATTTAAAATATTATTTAGCGTGTAAATCTTACCATAATTTTAGTACCGTGCATCAATATAATGTGTGACCTTCTAGTCACTCACTCTAGAAGTTTACTTTCTCTTGATTCGATTCGACGCTATTTTTAGTATTTTATGTTTAGAACGTCGAGATTTTTTTCTTTCTTAATATTAGTTTTTTAAAAAGTCTTTAATGATTACGCGATTTACAAATTTTATAAATCCGTAGTGATTTTATTTTTTTAAGGACCGAAACATTTTAGATTTTGATTGATTTGATTAATCGATAATTATTATATTATGTTCAATTCGTTCTTGTCGACAAACATTTAATTTCATAAATTTAAAAATGTTTCAGTAATTTAATGGATTTAACGGTGCTGTTTATTTTAAATTAAATAAAGTGAAAATTCTGGGCAAAAATGCATAAAAACATATTAGATATTCATTTTGGTAACAAATATTTGATAAATAAGATCGTCTACGCAAATTTTTATATTTGTATAGCCGATCTAACGTCTACGAGAATATTAATTGATAATAAAATGAGCCATTGTTTAGATTGTATATAGAAAAAAATAACTTTGGTCTTAATTAAAAGTCTAAAACTTCGGTTTATGAAAATATCTTTGCTAGATATAGTTTTGTTTGGTGATAACATCAATAGTAAAAGTAATGAAGGAATTTTACTGGAAGTAGGCTGCTTATCCTTCCGGGTGCGACAACGGATGTATTTGTTGAGGATATGTTGTAGCAATATTATTTTGGTTAGAATATAAAGTAATGACGATCGACGGGTACTGCAATGATGACAATGGGACTAGTATTATGTTGTTCTACAGGTGACTGGGGCAAGAATCGAAAGATCAGGTAGCTCGTGGTAGCTAGGTTCAGATCTTGCGCCTCTCTTCTCCAGTCTTCGTGCTAATTGGACATAATTTCATTTCAGTGAAAATAATCATAAAGAAACTGTTCGAGCTAGGGACCGACAGTATCGTCATCGCAGGCATCGTCATGTCAGTGCCTCTTCGGACAGCGCTGATTCCAGCTATCATTCACACATTGCAAGCGAAAGTTGGCGTCGCAATCGTCGTAAACGTCGTCGGCATCAACATCATCATAATTATCGTCGGCGACGTTCCCGAAGTAAGGAAACCAGGGTAGGTCAATCCCCTCCTGTAAGGAAAACTCTGCCCTCCATTAAAATTTCGTTATTTGCCAGGAGGGTTCGTATAAATTTTTTTTATTCAGTTTTTTAAAGTTATTAAACAGTATGTATTTTTTTTTCTAATAAATTTATTCGTAATTTATTGATATTTTTTTAAACCAGATATTTGAAATTTTTACTCATTCAGTGATTGCTAATTTGCACTTTTTGAATTTTTATATACTATATATGTTAATATATGTATACAATTAATTTTTTTAAAAATAATGTTTTGTCCGTCTGGTTTTAAATTCTTATTTACGAAATAAAAGGTAAGACGTTAATTTTTAGTTGGTAGTTTTGTCCGAAAAAGTTGTGCGGGTCATGTGACGTTAGAAATTTGTAGTCAGTTAAATTATTTGTTGTCATATACAGTGGCAGATGGATAAAACAGTATCATTCTCGAATTAGCGTTATTTCGTGCTCGGCGTCAGCTTTCAAAATATAGTTGTTTAATTGACAGATATGATATAATTTTAGCTCGCTGTTGTTTATACATCAGATTTGCGAATTCTTTTTTTAGAAGTAAGATTTCTTAAAGATTTTTCGAACATGATTGTTAAAGTAAGAAGAATTTATAATCTAAAAAGAAAAGTCGGATCCAATCGAGAAAATTATTAATACGTTACATTTCGAATAAAAAAATTTTTTTTTTTTCGAAGTAATGAACTAATATTTAGTGTGGAACCTGTAGATGTATCCCGTTCTATTTTGGGGTGCTGTGTTTCTTGGCAGCCTATTAGAAATGACTGCCTGCCAGAATGACGTGGTATGTCGTAGTTAAACTTTTTCGGTTATCATTTGCCCAGTAACCATTTTACATGTCAGCTTATTTCGTGATGGTAAAAGTTTCTCTATTAGGTGTGAAAATGTTATATTCATTGTGATTATGTATGCGGATGACGATCCTAGCGGTTATACTGCTGACGACATGCTTCGATCTTGTTCTAACTTTTTACAACGTTTTTCTTCCCGTCTGAAAGTTCAAAACAGCGATGAGATACCCATCCATAGTGTAAAGCCAGTCCTTCCGGCCTCTGTACTTCTGTTGCCTCTCACTTGCTGCGTAGTGCGTCTGCCACTGTCTAAATTTAACTGTGTGTCTGTGCGAGAATTTGATCCTTAGTTTAAAGCGTGCCTGAGTATTGTGTGCGTGTGGTGTGTGATTGCCTTATGTTTTATTGGTGATTTATCTTAATTTTATTTTTGGTCTTGAGTCTTATTGCATGCAAAAATAATTTTGATTTTTTTGTATAATTGTTAAAACTTTAAGTGTAACTTGTATAATGGGACATTTTGTACCATACGTAAGTATTAGAATTTTTTGTTTGTAAGCACTTAAATTCAGGTAACCTAATAAAATTTAATTTTACTATGCTGAATTTGTTTAATTTTAAAATTATTAAATAAATATTTAAAATTTTTAGAAAATTATTATTAATCTGAAAATAAAAATAGAAATACAGGTAAAAAATAAAAGATGTTTAAATAATGCTATGATTTATTTTGATAATAAAAATCATAGTTTTATTTGAACATAGGTAATACTGACATCAGTTTTATCTTGTTAATTAACTGAGTGATGTCAATTTATCCACAATTAAAGCAAATGCCCTGTCCGAGCTCTTGGATTTTATCGTTGATGGAACAATTTCTGCTAAACTTGGCAAGCAAGTTTTTGATATTATGTTTGAAACTGGCAAATCTGCAGCTCTAATTATAGAAGAGCAGGACCTGAGCCTGTATTATTTTCCAGCCTTTTTTTAGGTCAGCTGTATTATTTGAGTTATTACATTTAAATGCTTGGAAATACAATGAATATAAGCTTGTTCTAACACCTTGATTGTGACCCTTTCCTAGATTCCTTTATTAACTTAATGCTGGTTTTTGTCATGTAAAATTTACTTTTTTGTCATAGGTCCACTGGGCTATGACAAGGAAGCAGATGTTTTATTAAACAAATAATCAACAGCAAAACAAAAGAAAGTACAGTAGTCCTTCGTTATATCATGGATTTGGATATATCACACTTTTTTTTTTCNCCGGCCTCTGTACTTCTGTTGCCTCTCACTTGCTGCGTAGTGCGTCTGCCACTGTCTAAATTTAACTGTGTGTCTGTGCGAGAATTTGATCCTTAGTTTAAAGCGTGCCTGAGTATTGTGTGCGTGTGGTGTGTGATTGCCTTATGTTTTATTGGTGATTTATCTTAATTTTATTTTTGGTCTTGAGTCTTATTGCATGCAAAAATAATTTTGATTTTTTTGTATAATTGTTAAAACTTTAAGTGTAACTTGTATAATGGGACATTTTGTACCATACGTAAGTATTAGAATTTTTTGTTTGTAAGCACTTAAATTCAGGTAACCTAATAAAATTTAATTTTACTATGCTGAATTTGTTTAATTTTAAAATTATTAAATAAATATTTAAAATTTCTTTGCAAATATTTTTAATGATTAAATTTAATTTAATATTTTGCAATCACTGTATGAGTATTAATATTTTTAAATTATAAAATTATTATCTTAATATGTGCAAATTTTCTTTTAATTTATTAAATAAGATTTAACTAAAATTTCATTTAGTCTATGTTATATTTTTAAGTAATTTATAAATAATTGAATGATTCACAAATGCATAGATTAAAAATAAGTTATTAGGGTTAACAAAATTTGCACATGTTAACTTTTTTTTTATTTATTTTTTTTTTGGATTATTTGAATTATTGCTTTTGCACAATCTGCTCTTGTTCACACGACCATGCCTCCCTTGTTTGTGTCATTTATTATGTGCGTGCCATCGCCCCGTGCCATGAATGGTGAAAAATGGCTGTAATCCTCGTGAATGAATACGTCTCGTGCAATCTGAAATCTGCTGTTCCGTCTCTGAAAATATGTCACGTGCCTGAAACTGCTGGGCCTGGGATGGACGAATGGTGTTGGTGGTGAATATCCTGGGAATGAAATTGCTGCTACAGTCTCCAAATGAACATACTTCTTCCCGCCCCCCAAGTGTGGAGGATGATGAAGACGGGCATCTGATCTATAGGCACGGGGACATCCTCCAAGACCGATGTACTCATCTTTTCGTAAAATAATAAGTTTAATGACACCTCCCACTTTATAGGAGATCAATTTAATAATAGGCATTTAATTCAAAATGTGATAGTTTTGGTTACTATAACGCACTTTTTAGAAAAACTAATTTTATTTTTTCTAGTAAAGAAGATTCTTATAATAGTTAATACTTAAAAATACAGTTAAATAATTTATTTTGCACTTAAATTTGAAAAAGTAATTTTCTAGTAAAAATTTTAAATTAACGTTTCAGTATTAAATTAAATTTTACATAAATTATCGTGTATAAAATTTTAAAAGAAATAGAATTACATTTAAAAGAATAATTCTGAATTTTCTGTTTTTACAGAAAGTTTAAGCATTTCAATTTAGATTAATTTTTTCCAGATAAAATCATTGCTACCCTCGGTGAGGGTACATTTGGTAAAGTAGCAAAAGCTGTTGATCTTTGCTCGTAAGTATTTTTAATTTATAATTTAATATTACTATAATTTGCCAATTACTTATATATAATTGAATTTTTAAGAAAATTATTTATTGAGATTTGCTAGTAATCATTATCAAAATTTTCATAAATTTTATTCTTACATAGAAATCCAAAATTTATATCTTTTGAATTAAATAAATCATTTAAGCATAGAATTTAAAATAAATGTAGCTATAGACTCTGAAAGTTGATGTAATAAATTAATAAATTTGTAAGTAGAAAATACAAAAATCAATAATCAAACTTTTTATATTTTAACAAACTTTTAATAATTCATTATAAACTACTTTGGCTTAAATTCAGTTCTAAATATAAATATGGGAAGAATATAATATAATAAAAGTTTATAGTGTTAAAACTTTGTTAGTTTGTCTATTAATATGTAATATAAAAAATTTTATTTACTTGCAAACTTATTAAACATTAGAAATTTTAAAATAACATTTTTGAAAGTCATATTCAATAGATCATAAAATGTTCAATTTGTGGTAATACATTAAGTGATTATTTGAAATTAGGATGTTTGATTTAAGCAATAAATTTGTCATTATTCTTGTTTCAAAAAAGATATTAATATCCTTACAGTTAAAATATTTATTATTAATTATATGAATAAAGATTCTTTTTAAAATTCTGATCTAAGAATCTAAGAAAAATGAAAGTTACATACTTTTAAACAGAACAAATATATATATTTTTTTCATTGTTTTTATTTCATTTTATTTAGATTTTTGAAATTTTATTATAGGAATTTTTTCATTAATTTTTTGGCTTGGAATTCTGTTTTATATAATAAAATAAAAACAATATTGTATCATTATTATTAAAAAATTTTAATCTTATTAAATTAAATAATGGAATAAATTTTTATATGTATGACTCTAGGTGAAGTTTTGTTTTTAATTTTAGTATTGTAATACACATTAGCTGCATTGTATGTATTTATTTTTAGTAGCAACTGATTGGTGCTAAGAAATAAAAATAACCTAGATAGAGAAACTAAATGTTTTTGCAGTAATTTATCTGTAATAGGTATTTTAAGAGAAGTAGATAATGTTTTTGCTTAGAAAAATTTTTGGCATTTATTGATTTGGACTTTAAAATAATGAAATATAAGTATATTTTTCCAACCAAATATAAGGAAAATCTACATTTATTTTTATGTAGTTATTATTTAAATTAGTATTCTTGATTATAGTTAAAATTTTAATTGTAATAAAAAAACTTTATATTGTTTTAACAAAATTTATGCAAAGTATATATAAATAAATTACAAAGCATAAGATTGATATCAACTTTAATAGCAATTACTCAAATCAATATAAAAATGTTTTCAAAGAAAATAATCTGTGCTAACTTTAGAAAAGTACTGTACTATATGTATAATAATAAATCAGAACGTGGCTTGGATAAAAAGGAAAACACTTAAGATGCCAGCTAGTATTGTTGGAACATTGCCTTTGTATTTCTTGTTATTATTTGGCAAAATGTTAATAATGAAACTTGAGTACTAGTTGATACATCTGTCAAGAAATTGGATTATTTTATATAATTAAGAAATTATTTTTTTCATTTGAAGAAATAAAATACTGTTATAAAAATTTTGCCTTTAATTAATACATTTTTCATTTGCATAACAGTGATGATGTGTATGAATATATATATATATAGTTTCTTTTTTTGTTTGTTATGCATTTGGAATACAGTTTGAGCAAAAGCAATGAAACTTTTCAAAGATTATCTTTTCATGAAAGAGGAGGCCAGCAACTACATTTTGTTGAATATACTTTACAAGAAGCCTCCTTTCTATCTGACCAGTGAAACTGTAGCATTGAATTAGTGAGTTACTCAATAAACATATGAACAAGCACAAAATATGTATAAGAGGGTATGCATGGATGCTGAGTTTGAATGTTTATTCCATTTTCTGTATGGTTTAATAAGGAAATTATAAAAAAATTTGTATTTTTTGGATTATCTTCTTGTTTAGGGAGATTGGCAGGCAAGAGATTGATGTTTTTCAATCCCTTTCCTGCCAATCTCCTACCTGCATGCATCTCATGCCTGACCAAGTAGATTGCAGCATTTTTCTTCTGTTTGGAGTACTAGTGAGCAGAACCTTGATAGAAAGTATGACATATTTTGCATTTTTAATAATAGTGGGCTTGAACTTTTGGCCCAGTCTAAAGAAAATTGTAAGATGGTGATAAATTAGAATATGTTGATGTATTACTTATTTGCAAACACCAATAGATACATTATATTCCAAATAAATCTGCATGAAACCCAAAATAATAAAACATTCAATGTTAAGATTAAAGAGGAAATGAAAGTTTTGCTAGGAATAAACATTCTTACATAATTATTGCAACTGTCGATTGTCAATTTCTCCTAACTAATTGAGAGAGATTTAATAAATCACTACATATCTTAATTTCTAGTGTTCAGTTTAATAAAAGAATACATATATTTGGCTATGTGTGCTATTATTTATTGTATTCTGTTCCAGCTTTTTTTAAGAAATGTTCATATAGAAGAGATATTTATATTTCCTCACCGATGTCAGTGAAAAGTTTTAGCAGTTCACTTCAATATACATACAAATGATAATTTTATAAATGTCAAGTATAATAAATTACATCGAATTAGGCCTGTAATTAATTCTTTGTTAAAGACATTCAAAGAAAATTATGCACCTACCAAAGAACAGAGCATTGATGAAAGTATGGTGAAGTTTAAATTAAGGATAGAATTGGATTCAAGCAGTATATGCCACATATGCTAGTGAAGATATTTTATAAAATTTGGATACTGGCAGCTAATATTGGTTATATTTGTAGTTTTCAAATTTATACAGGAAAATTAAAAAATAAGATAGAAAGGAATTTGGGAGAAAAAGTGTAAAGATTTATGCCAAGATTTCAATGGAAAGGTGTGTGTGTGTGTATTGACAATTTCTTTACAAGTGTATCATTATTCATTTGAAAAATGTAGGGTTACCATCACATGGAAAAGTAATATTTAATTACAAAAGATTGCCAACACTGAAAATGTGTAATGTACTATAGAGAGATAAATGTGATTAGTTGATTCAGATGAGCTGTCATGGGTGAAATGGAAACAGATGTACTGTAATGGTGATGTCCTCAATTGATAATCTGATAAAAATGCAACAAGTAACAGAAAGGAAAAAAATGGCAGCACTGTTCAAATTCAATGTCTCCAAAGTTGTTGTTAACATATCCTATATTTGAAGCATAGAAGACAAGGCTGACAAGTTAAAATCCTTTTATGCCATGACAAAAATCAGAAGATTGACTTTTGGCATTTTGTTGTCATAATTGTAGTAAATACTTTCATTCTCTATTATCAAATTTGTTTAGGCAAAATGATCATGCTTAAAAGTTTTTGAAGCAGAGTAGCTGTAGGGAAGACGTTCTCTCAAGGTTAGCCCAGTAGTGCAGAAATGTGATTCAGAAAGTCCAAAATTGAAAAGATTCTTAGAAACATCTTCAGCAACAAACTACAAATAAATTTATGGTTTAATGAAACTATCTTTAATTTAGTTTGTTACTTTGTAAATGAAATACAATAATTGTAATGAATAAATATCATTATGAACTTTTAAATTGAAATAAAAATAACTTACTATATAAAAAAAAAGTTAATATATGAGCAATATATTGATTCAAATATGTTTAAATCTTCTAATCAGTACAGGGTGTTTATAAATGAATGGTGTGGTTTTAAAAATTAATAATAAATCTATTTATTACCTTATATGGGCAAACCTTACAGCATAAGCAGCGGCAACTGTCCAAGTTTATGTATCAATGCCGTCAATGCCCGTGTCCCTTGAAGATGCACTGCAGACCATCACGGAGGATTGCTACACCGTGTATGGGAAGAGTTTGATTACCATGTAGATGTGTGTCGTGTGACCATGGGTACACATATTGAAGGATTGTGATTAACACAGAAAAACTTGGACAGTTGCTGCTTCTTATGCTGTAAGGTTTGTCCATATAAGGTAATAAATAGATTTATTATTAATTTCTAAAATTGCACCATTCATTTATAAACACCTTGTATATAATTAGTGTATAATTTTCTTATTGCTACAATGACATAGTTTTAAATAATAGTCATTTTTTTTAGGAATTTTATATTGGTTCTTATAAATTATTAAACTGAAATAAATAGTTTAAATTTATAGTAATTGTTTATTGAATTTTCAGGGAGCTTACAGTGGCTCTGAAAATAATCAAAAATGTAGAAAAATACAGAGAAGCAGCAAAATTGGAGATAAATGTCCTGAAAAAACTTGCTGATGCTGATCCAGATAGCAAACAGTAGGCCATTGAAGTTTAACTTCTTAATTCTATTCTAAGAATTATGAGAAATTTATCAAATTTAATGATAATTATAAGCTAAGATGTTTTAATTCTAAGGCTCTGTAAAGTTTTAAATTATATTATAATTCAATAAGTTAATTTATGATAAATTCAAATTTGCTGCTGCTGCTAATTTATTTTTACATTAAGAAATGTAAGTTTTTAAACTTTTATTAACAAATTGTTTATTATATTAAAAGAATCTCCATTATACAGTATTAATTATATATATATACAAAATCATGATACTGAATTAATTACTTAATTTGATTTCTACTAAACTATAGATCTAAGATTCAAGGTATGCTCATAAGCATATGCTAAGTGTTCTGCAGATTGACTCAGTTATTTTTCCAAGTTGCAGCACTATGCTGTTTAATCATAGAAAAGAACATTTTCATGCACAACATACTTTTATGTTAGGTTACCAGATAGAGATAATACTTTGGCACACAAGCTACTCTTAATCTAAAGTAATATTAAGATTCTAAGATGCACTTTTTCTCAATATAAACATCTCAAAAAATTAATGGCATCTTAGAGGAGAAGCTTGATTGCTGGAAATCTATGTTGACACCATAGCATTGTTTATATACACTATATATTAATTTTTATATTAAATATAATTATCTAATCTATGTATTAAAAATTTTACAATTAGATGAGATCCATTGGAAACATTTTCAACTCCTTTAGTCAGCTCCAGCCAAACAGTTTATTGTGGACTTCTAAAATATGTTGTGGAACATAATATTTGAATAAACTGTCTGTAGAATTTTGCTAGTTTTTAAGCTTTTAAATATACACTTTGTGGCATTTGAATATTAAAAATATAACCTATCTGAAGAATGGTTACAGGTTTATAAAAATAAGTTTGGAACAAGTTTAAAAACAACCAATGTTCTAACATTGGTTGTTTTTAAATATTTAAAATTTTTAGAAAATTATTATTAATCTGAAAATAAAAATAGAAATACAGGTAAAAAATAAAAGATGTTTAAATAATGCTATGATTTATTTTGATAATAAAAATCATAGTTTTATTTGAACATAGGTAATACTGACATCAGTTTTATCTTGTTAATTAACTGAGTGATGTCAATTTATCCACAATTAAAGCAAATGCCCTGTCCGAGCTCTTGGATTTTATCGTTGATGGAACAATTTCTGCTAAACTTGGCAAGCAAGTTTTTGATATTATGTTTGAAACTGGCAAATCTGCAGCTCTAATTATAGAAGAGCAGGACCTGAGCCTGTATTATTTTCCAGCCTTTTTTTAGGTCAGCTGTATTATTTGGGTTATTACATTTAAATGCTTGGAAATACAATGAATATAAGCTTGTTCTAACACCTTGATTGTGACCCTTTCCTAGATTCCTTTATTAACTTAATGCTGGTTTTTGTCATGTAAAATTTACTTTTTTGTCATAGGTCCACTGGGCTATGACAAGGAAGCAGATGTTTTATTAAACAAATAATCAACAGCAAAACAAAAGAAAGTACAGTAGTCCTTCGTTATATCATGGATTTGGATATATCATGCTTTTTTTTTCTGTCCCCAAATTTTAAAAACACTTGAGTCAATAAGTTTTAAGATATCAATTTCCATTGAATTTTTTTTTCTTTCCATTATTCCATTACAGTATTTTATTCTTAAAAATACTGTATTTCATTGTGTTGAATTTACTGCATAATGTGTAAGGAAAGATTTATTTATTTCTGAACGGAAAGTTCTAAAATTTTTATACAGTAGTAACTTTATTTTGCTTTTTAGAGAATTTTTACTCTGTAATTTTATAAGTTTTGATGTTCTATTATATGTTCAATACTTACTTTTTAAATTTTCAATTACTGTATTTATAATTTTTATTGAAAAATATAAATTACACAAATTTTTAATAAGTGATTTATTGTGAAATATAGTACTGTATAATAAAATTGCAACTGATGTTTTGTTTTTATATTGACAGTATTTGTCTTTAAATGTCAATGTTAAAGAGACAATAATGCTAAATGGGTGTTCATAGTATCAATGGGTCTGTAAACATCATTTAATATGATATAACAATGAATAAAATTTAATATTGCATAACTAAGCTTGTTTTATATCAGAAACACTTGCTGATGGAAGAATAGAGGATAAACATTACATAACATGTTTAGTATTGGCCCAGAATTTTTAGTTATATTGTACTTTTTCTTTGTCTCCTGACAAGAGATATAACAAAGGGCTACTATATTGTAATTTAAAATAATGTGGAAAAATAAATCTTCAAAAACACAGAGATGATTAAAAAATCAGTGTGCTTTGATGTTCTGTAGCAGATGTCTCCAAACTACTACTCCAAGGCAAATTTATCTGGCCTATGTAGCTCATTTTCACCAACAAGTTTAATATCAACATTCAAACTTGTTCAAAAAAGCATAAATTGTGAAAAGTCAACTAGAATTAATAGACATTGCTTCAAATGATTTTTTAAATAAAAACTTGTTTAAAGAGAGTTAAATTTTCACAAATCTCTACCAGAAGAGAATTTTAAGCCTTAAGAAGTTTGCACAGATATATAATTTTTTATTTCTATGAATTTTTGCAAAAAATCTTTTTGAATATTAAATATATAAAAAAGATTTTAACATTGCCCAAATTTTACTGCAAATTTCACATTCATTTATATTTTATTTGTTATGTAGAAATAAAAAAAATCTTAATCTTTGACTTTATCTTTTGTACCTGGCTCCTGACTTGTGTTTTTACAGTTCATGTGGCACTTCTCAAAAAAAGATTGGAGGCCCCTGTTCTTTAGGCATCATTAGTCAACACTTATATAGCACACACAACATATAATTTTTTAAAGCTATCAGAATTTTATGATACAGTAGAGTGTTGTTTATCTGAATCAATTAGGGACTGGGGTTGTTCAGAAAATCAATATTTCGGATAACCGATTATGTACAAAAAAATATATTAACCTATCCCATGTTGAAATTTTTCTCCGTTGCATGTCGCTTTGCATTGAATTTTTGTTGGTGTTAAGCCTAATGAAGACTATCGTTAAAAATTATTTTTTTATTTTGTACGAACAAAATAAATATATTGAAAAATATAAAAACAATAAAAAATTATACTTCAGAAGTTACTTTAGTACCAAAAACGTAAAATGTTTGATTAGCCCAAGACATAGCCAAAGATTGCCGCACCACAGCACTGGCAAAAATTTAAATTTGCCGACTGGAATTCTTTCGGATAAACGATGCTCTACTGTAGTGTACTTTATGCCCTTTTAATAATACCATTTTGTTTTACTGTAAGAAGTCTGCTTTCACTCATTTTACATTAACATTTAAGTTGGTGGGACTAGTTTTATATTTACATAAAAATGATTTTTTTAACTTGCACATAATTATGTGAGAAGTATAGTGGTAAATATCACTTAAGATAATTTTTAAATTTATAAAAATGAATTAAAATAATTATATTTCTCTCTTTCCAGCTTGTGTGTAAAGATGCTAGATTGGTTTGACTATCATGGTCATATGTGTATAGCATTTGAAATGCTAGGACTGAGTGTGTTTGACTTTTTGGTAAGTGGATATGTTTATTATTATTATTTAGCTAATGGATAAGGTTATTTCCAAAGAAATTCATAACTTACAGAATACAAAGGAATTGATCACACAGTCTAGCATTGCACAGACAAGACAGTTCGTGAATCTACTTAGTGAAGTAGCTCTGTCCAGAGTGAAATTTTCTATAAATATATCTGAATATTCAAATATGGGTGGAAATAAGTTTTCTGTTAAAAACATGGTATTCAATGAGATATTCAAAAAGTAAAATGTAAAAATTATAAACTGATTTCAAATTTTGAAAATATATTCAAATCTTTATTCCTTTCACAAGTGAATTTTGTTAAAAAAGAACAGATGAATAGCATTTATGAAAATATTTAGAGATTTTATTCAGTATGAATGAGATTTGAAATTAAATTCTAATGATATGACATTGAACTAATTCACAAGTCATATTCTGATCAAACCAAATATTTAATGGATTCTGGCTAATATGATTTTTTAAAAAATAAATTTCAAAATAACAAAAATAAGGCTAGAATGAATTGGTTTTTATACATGAATGAAATATAATAGTTTGCCATTTAAGTTATCTCATTGTTAATAAGGAAGAACTATGAGGACTCAAATACAGTATAATTATGATTTTTGTATTGTTTGTGTCTATTTGCATAAGCTTGATTTGTGCAAATAAGACCAATTATTTATATAAATATATCAAAATTAGGGATCTGTAATATGATGATGAGTAATGATCATTGTAACAATTTTTAATTTTATTTTATTTGAATTAGTTAATGTTAAGAGAGCTTTATAATTAATGTAATTAAAAGAAAACTAACCAAAATCTATAATGGACTGTCATTAAAAGATTGTTACTCTCTCAATAAGCAGGAATTAGTTTTGGAAACAAATGTGTTTATGAATAATTTAAAATTATTTTTAACTGTAATATCATTAGATAATATTTTCCTTATTATGAAACTATATATTTAATGTAATAATTCAATAATCATCATATTATATTATATGTTAAAGTAATAAGGAATTTTAGGTTATTTTCCAGACAAGTTATTGAATATATTTTTATTTTTAGTGTATAATAGCTTGCATAAGACTATAAACTTTTCTTTATTTATTTTTACAGAAAGATAATAATTATCAACCGTATCCTATTGATCAAGTCAGGCATATTGGTTATCAGCTCTGTTACTCTGTGAAATGTAAGTTTAATTTTAATTGCACTAGGCTAATTTCATTGCAGTAATAAAAGCTAATGTATTTTTTATTTTACAGTTGTACATGACAATCATTTGTCACACACAGATCTTAAACCAGAAAATATACTTTTTGTAAATTCAGATTATGATATTAGTTACAATCCCAAAAAAGTAAGTATTTTTGTGGATAATCATTATTAGGACTTGATTTTTTTAATTGTACATTTATTATTACTTTTTATAATTCTAGCAAAAGAGAGATATGCGAAGGGTTAGAAATACAGATATAAGGTTGATAGATTTTGGCTCAGCAACATTTGATCATGAACATCACAGTACAATAGTTTCAACTCGCCATTATCGTGCCCCTGAAGTTATATTAGGTAATTAATTGTATACACTTAAATCTGAAAATTATAAATATTTTGAACAAGGTCTTATGAGAAGTGATTGATATTTTATAAAATTAGTTTGGGTAAAGGTAGAATAATGTAATCAGTTTTAAAAAGTAAAAATTTTATTTTAACCATATTTATACTGTCACCCTTATCTGCAAGTACTCAATATAGAAGAATTTCATGCTGTTTTCTTTTATTTCTCTTTATTATTTGAGACAAAATATTTATTATAACAAGTGCTAACTGATATTTAAGAAGAACAAAATATTCTAGTTACAAGTTTGATGAGATTGAAATTTTAACATATATGGATCATAGTTTTCAGTCTCCACTTTTTTTTTTTATTCCAGTTATAGTTTTCTTCTTTGAAAAGATTTCAGGTTATATTTTTATTCTAAGATAAGTGATGGCAACAATTTCCACCATTCATCTTTGAAAAATACTTTTAACACCCTATTCTTTCAATCACCACATTGAACGAATAGGGTTGTTTTATTTACAATTACCTGGTAATTGTAAATAAAACAATTTTAATCTGTGTGACTGTGTTGCTGTAATCTTATACATCAGTATGATAAGTCCTATTAATAGAAATACACTGTTGTGGTGATTGAAAGAATAACTTGTTTAAATTAAGGACATTGATGCATATTAATTAACTTTTAACACTCATTTCTTTTTCTCAAGCAATCACCTCTCTGTGATTAAAATTTCATTTATTAAATACAATTTTATGTTGTTTTCTGCTTGCTTTCTTACTATGAAATTAAGAAATGTTTTATATTTTTTATTAGTTCCTTTTATATCAGATGAAAAGCAAATTAATACTTTTATTTAATTTTAGAATTATATGTTGATAAGTAAATATATTTTATATCATTTTAATGTTATTTGGAAACATAGATAGGTTGACTGAGTTATTTCAAAACAAAATTAAGAAATACTGCAAGATTTATTGCTATTTATGAGATTTTCAGGAAAGAGATAATCTTTTAAATTGAGATCACACTGTGTTCAGAAAAGCCAATCTTAACTGCTTCATTCATATTAAAATTCTTATCTTCTGGCAATTTCATTGATTCTTTATTTGAAATTTCCATTTAATTCTCATGACTTTGTTCTAAATAAGAAGAAAAGGTCTACTTTTTTTGAAAATAAGTCAGTATAATCAAGCAAATGAATAAAAATATGTATGTATAAAATAGATTAATCATTTTTAACTATGGTTGCAATTCCAAATATATCAAGTTTATTATTGCATAAATAGAAATCCCACCTGAAAAGGATGAAATAGAAATTAAATCATAAAATACTGAAACATGTAAAAAAAAATTACTTCATTACATTCAATTTATAGTAGCCCCTCATTATAATGCTTATTTGAATGTATTATGTTTTTTTTTTTCCATATATAAAAGCACTTGAGTGAATAATCGATAAGTACAGACATTGGTTATATTGTGTTATCTGATATATCACTCATTTGGTTTGTCTGACTACATATTGAAGATAACAAGGTGCTACTGTATTATATTTTTATCTTAAATAACAGTAATAAACTAACATTTACATACTGAAATAGAAGAATCACATTTTAAGAAAAGTTTGAGTGCAGATAGCTTAATGAGACTGCAAAGAATGTGTAGAATAGTAAAGAAGTATGGAAATAATTTAAACATTTTAAATAACATTTGAAAAAGAGACTTGTGTATTTTAAATTTAAATATTAATATTTAAGGAAATTTAAATATATTAGATTTCCTTAAAATACACAAGTCTCTTAATAGTTAAATTTTTTAGTTAAATTAATAGTTTAGATCAGTATTATACAAAAAATTTAATCCTTAAAGTACGAATGTTAAGCCTGATTTAGACAAAAGCTTAAGTAGCCAAAAATTGTTGCATGCAATTAAAACACTTCTCTGCTCTGTTTGAATTACTGTTTTTTCATGTAGCAGCATACACCTGTTTATGCAAAACTATGTTTCAGAGAATCAAAAAAAAAACTGAATTTTTATTGATGAAAACATGGGGCAGACCAATCAGCTTAAAGCATTATTTGATATGTATAATAATTTCATATGCATTTTAAAATATGGCAATTGTATGATCAACAAACTGCTTGATATAAAATTATTAATCAAAAAGTTTATATCAAAAATATGAAATTGGAGACATTGAAACCACAGTGGAACCTCACTTAATGAGTATTTTGCATAATGAGTAAAACAAATTGTAAAAGAAATGACTCACTTAACGAGCAATGTTTTGCATAACGAGTGATGAGAAGAGGGGAAGTCCCAGATTGTGCGCATGCTCCATCAGCTGTGTTTAGCACTCATTTCGCTAGCATCTTAGTGTCGCTTGTGATCACATTTTTCCAAATTTGTGTTCATANTTAATCTTATTAAATTAAATAATGGAATAAATTTTTATATGTATGACTCTAGGTGAAGTTTTGTTTTTAATTTTAGTATTGTAATACACATTAGCTGCATTGTATGTATTTATTTTTAGTAGCAACTGATTGGTGCTAAGAAATAAAAATAACCTAGATAGAGAAACTAAATGTTTTTGCAGTAATTTATCTGTAATAGGTATTTTAAGAGAAGTAGATAATGTTTTTGCTTAGAAAAATTTTTGGCATTTATTGATTTGGACTTTAAAATAATGAAATATAAGTATATTTTTCCAACCAAATATAAGGAAAATCTACATTTATTTTTATGTAGTTATTATTTAAATTAGTATTCTTGATTATAGTTAAAATTTTAATTGTAATAAAAAAACTTTATATTGTTTTAACAAAATTTATGCAAAGTATATATAAATAAATTACAAAGCATAAGATTGATATCAACTTTAATAGCAATTACTCAAATCAATATAAAAATGTTTTCAAAGAAAATAATCTGTGCTAACTTTAGAAAAGTACTGTACTATATGTATAATAATAAATCAGAACGTGGCTTGGATAAAAAGGAAAACACTTAAGATGCCAGCTAGTATTGTTGGAACATTGCCTTTGTATTTCTTGTTATTATTTGGCAAAATGTTAATAATGAAACTTGAGTACTAGTTGATACATCTGTCAAGAAATTGGATTATTTTATATAATTAAGAAATTATTTTTTTCATTTGAAGAAATAAAATACTGTTATAAAAATTTTGCCTTTAATTAATACATTTTTCATTTGCATAACAGTGATGATGTGTATGAATATATATATATATAGTTTCTTTTTTTGTTTGTTATGCATTTGGAATACAGTTTGAGCAAAAGCAATGAAACTTTTCAAAGATTATCTTTTCATGAAAGAGGAGGCCAGCAACTACATTTTGTTGAATATACTTTACAAGAAGCCTCCTTTCTATCTGACCAGTGAAACTGTAGCATTGAATTAGTGAGTTACTCAATAAACATATGAACAAGCACAAAATATGTATAAGAGGGTATGCATGGATGCTGAGTTTGAATCTTTATTCCATTTTCTGTATGGTTTAATAAGGAAATTATAAAAAAATTTGTATTTTTTTGGATTATCTTCTTGTTTAGGGAGATTGGCAGGCAAGAGATTGATGTTTTTCAATCCCTTTCCTGCCAATCTCCTACCTGCATGCATCTCATGCCTGACCAAGTAGATTGCAGCATTTTTCTTCTGTTTGGAGTACTAGTGAGCAGAACCTTGATAGAAAGTATGACATATTTTGCATTTTTAATAATAGTGGGCTTGAACTTTTGGCCCAGTCTAAAGAAAATTGTAAGATGGTGATAAATTAGAATATGTTGATGTATTACTTATTTGCAAACACCAATAGATACATTATATTCCAAATAAATCTGCATGAAACCCAAAATAATAAAACATTCAATGTTAAGATTAAAGAGGAAATGAAAGTTTTGCTAGGAATAAACATTCTTACATAATTATTGCAACTGTCGATTGTCAATTTCTCCTAACTAATTGAGAGAGATTTAATAAATCACTACATATCTTAATTTCTAGTGTTCAGTTTAATAAAAGAATACATATATTTGGCTATGTGTGCTATTATTTATTGTATTCTGTTCCAGCTTTTTTTAAGAAATGTTCATATAGAAGAGATATTTATATTTCCTCACCGATGTCAGTGAAAAGTTTTAGCAGTTCACTTCAATATACATACAAATGATAATTTTATAAATGTCAAGTATAATAAATTACATCGAATTAGGCCTGTAATTAATTCTTTGTTAAAGACATTCAAAGAAAATTATGCACCTACCAAAGAACAGAGCATTGATGAAAGTATGGTGAAGTTTAAATTAAGGATAGAATTGGATTCAAGCAGTATATGCCACATATGCTAGTGAAGATATTTTATAAAATTTGGATACTGGCAGCTAATATTGGTTATATTTGTAGTTTTCAAATTTATACAGGAAAATTAAAAAATAAGATAGAAAGGAATTTGGGAGAAAAAGTGTAAAGATTTATGCCAAGATTTCAATGGAAAGGTGTGTGTGTGTGTATTGACAATTTCTTTACAAGTGTATCATTATTCATTTGAAAAATGTAGGGTTACCATCACATGGAAAAGTAATATTTAATTACAAAAGATTGCCAACACTGAAAATGTGTAATGTACTATAGAGAGATAAATGTGATTAGTTGATTCAGATGAGCTGTCATGGGTGAAATGGAAACAGATGTACTGTAATGGTGATGTCCTCAATTGATAATCTGATAAAAATGCAACAAGTAACAGAAAGGAAAAAAATGGCAGCACTGTTCAAATTCAATGTCTCCAAAGTTGTTGTTAACATATCCTATATTTGAAGCATAGAAGACAAGGCTGACAAGTTAAAATCCTTTTATGCCATGACAAAAATCAGAAGATTGACTTTTGGCATTTTGTTGTCATAATTGTAGTAAATACTTTCATTCTCTATTATCAAATTTGTTTAGGCAAAATGATCATGCTTAAAAGTTTTTGAAGCAGAG